GGCATTCAAAACAACATATTCTATCACTGACTTTCCACTTATGTTTTTCTTACTCTGGGCATTTGCAACTGGCATTTGTTTACTTTATAGTTGTTTCATTTCCAATTGTAGAGATCGGTCTATGACTTTAGCAATGATTATGTATGTATATACATATATATATATATACACCATTGACGTATACCCCTTTGCTTGGAACCAAAACCCAGTGCATATCAAGGTTCCACTGAATAAATAAAATATATCCTTATGTATGCATGTGTATGTGTCTATTTGATAAACAAAAACATTTTTTTTAAAAACACAAGTCATAGAAAAATTAACAAACAAATAAAAATCCCAAGCACCCTATAGCAACTATTACAAATCTAACAGGGCCAATTTTTTGTGTCAGGAGTGTCTCAAGAAACTACAAGTCACTTCTGATGTGAGAGAATTGGCCATCTGCAAGGACATTGCACAGGGGATGCCCGGATGTCTTACCAAGCTGGAGCTAACAGATGGTAGCTCACCCCTCTCCCCAGATTTGAACCACTAATCTTTCGGTCGACCAGTCCTGCCAGCACAAAAGTTTAACCCATTGCGCCACTGGGGGCTCCTAGCAGGGCCATTAACCAGTGTTATCAGTCCTGTGAAGTCCTTAATAGAAGGCTAAGATCACAATTTTCCTACATTTCCATAGGAATCAATGTTAGAGAAAAGGGAATAATAAACACTGAGGGAGAAGACATAGAGGCACACTCACCTTTATTCCAAAAGCCTTTAAATAGAACATTTCCACAGGCTTCAGCCCCACGTGGGTTTTGACAAATGCTGGATTTCCAACCACTCGAATATAGACCGTGATCTGGAAGTGATTTTTCTTCTGACAGACAAAAGCATCATCTACTGCTGAGAAATTAAATCCTTTGTTTGTTACGATGTGATATCCCACATCTGGGCTATAAAGACAAGAACCAAAAAAATTCTGTCAATGGAACATTCCTTCAGATATAAAAAATATAAATATTTTATGTTTTGTTTGATCAGTTTACACACTACTTACATCTAAAAATATCTCAAAATCTGAATATTATGAACTAGTTTACATTGCTGAAAGAAATTTATAGATATGGTACCCTAGTAACCTATATACATGCTTTCTTTAACACTAAAGGAGTAAAAAATCACCGTATACATCACAAGACATAGAAGGGGGGTCCTGGTACATATAATGCTCAATGAAATGGAACTGAATACTGTTCGGTTATCTTGTACCACCCTTTCTAAAACAGTGATGCTATCAAAGGGTTTTGGGACTTAGGACCTCATCACATTGGGGTCACAATTGAGGGCAATAGGGGGGGATTCACCATGGATCGTGGTGAATTCAGCAGGAGGCAGGGGGAACCTGTCACCCCACATTGCCCACATTGCCCCTCACCTCATCCCAACCGGGGGAAGCATTGTTGCCTGGCTTCCACCCGTTCTCTTTGCAACAAAGGAAGTCTCCCATGTTTCTGGTACTGCCTTTTACAACAGTTCAACCTCACTTCAGGTACAGAACCCTGCCAGAACTACATTAACATCATGTGATGGGATCTGACGGGCTCCGTGCCTGAAGTGAGGTTGAACTGTTGTGGGATGGGCAATTTTACCTGTCTGATGAGGTCACCTGTTCAGGATGCTGTTTTCAGCCTTACCACCAATATATGTGTTCAAGACCACTCATTGGAAATTATGGGGTATGTAGCAGCAGGGCCGTAGCCAGAAAAAAATTTCGGGAGGGGTTGAAATTTTCGGGGGGGGGGGGGGGTTGAAACCTGCCTCCTAGCTCACGCTGAAGCAAAGAGCACAGCAGGGGGCAGAGCAGCCTTCAATAGCCTGCAGCTCCGCCCTTGTCAACCACCTCCACCAAGTCTGGCCTCCTTAATGAGAGCATTCAACATCCCCCCCCCCAACTTGGTTGCTTCACTACTGTTCTGTTCGCGCGCTGGGCCTGTAAATAATTGTCTTTAGAACAGGATGTGCAACCTTTGCCCAGCGGGAAGCCAGGGGGCCTAAAGAGAAGTTCTCAGAGGTTTCCACCACAAACAGTCTTTAGATGGCTTGAGAAGTACAACAAAGTCTTTTATTGATGAACAATCAAACAGAAACTTCTCTTGTCTTCAGTAAAGTTAAGCAAATGATTCCAAGCTTTTAGGCAACTGGTGAATTCCTAATCTTGCCCACGAAGGACAGGCAACTGTCTTCAATAACTTCTTCTTTAAAGGAAAATCCCCATTTTAACTTCTCCCAGGCTGACTGTAATCTAACCCTTACTGATCATCAAGGATCATCAAGTTTGCAGACGACACCAAATTGGGAGGGATAGCCAATACTCCAGAGGACAGGAGCAGGATTCAAAACGATCTTGACAGATTAGAGAGATGGGCCAAAACTAACAAAATGAAGTTCAACAGTGACAAATGCAAGATACTCCACTTTGGCAGGAAACACGAAATGCAAAGATACAGAATGGGGGATGCCTGGCTCAAGAGCAGTACATGTGAAAAAGATCTTGGAGTCCTCTTGGACGACAAGTTAAACATGAGCCAACAATGTGATGTGGCGGCAAAAAAAAAGCCAATGGGATTTTGGCCTGCATCAATAGGAGCATAGTGTCTAGATCTAGGGAAGTAATGCTACCCCTCTATTCTGTTTTGGTTAGGCCACATCTGGAATATTGTGTCCAGTTCTGGGCACCACAATTCAAGAGAGATATTGACAAGCTGGAATGTGTCCAGAGGAGAGCGACTAAAATGATAAAAGGTCTGGAGAATAAGCCCTATGAGGAGCGGCTTAAGGAGCTGGGCATGTTTAGCCTGAAGAAGAGAAGGCTGAGAGGAGATATGATAGCCATGTATAAATATGTGAGAGGAAGCCACAGGGAGGAGGGAGCAAGCTTGTTTTCTGCTTCCTTGGAGACTAGGAGGGAACAATGGCTTCAAACTACAAGAGAGGAGATTCCATCTGAACATGAGGAAGAACTTCCTGACTGTGAGAGCTGTTCAGCAGTGGAACTCTCTGCCCCGGAGTGTGGTGGAGGCTCCTTCTTTGGAAGCTTTAAACAGAGGCTGGATGGCCATCTGTCAGGGGTGATTTGAATGCAATATTCCTGCTTCTTGGCAGGGGGTTGGACTGGATGGCCCATGAGGTCTCTTCCAACTCTTTATTCTATGATTCTAATTCTATGATGTGGGCTCCGCTACCGGATC